CCTGACTGCATACGCTAGATACCTAAGGGGCATGCCTAAGCGTCGTCACGTTGCCGTCCGGGATTCCTCGCGAGATTAACTCGAGATCGCCTAACTCTCATGGCGGAAGTCGTACCCATGTCACGGTGGCAAGAGCCAGGATATCTACGCGGAAGTGCAACGTCGTGTCGCCGTCGTCGTGTCGCCGTGCGACGCGCGCGGTAAACGTAGCTCTTCTTCTCTCGCTTTTTTCTTTCACAGGACTGCAAAAGTACTAGTGATGTCTCTCAATGCTCGCTTGGAATCTTCAAACAAATCGAATACGCGAACGCTCGCGTAAAATGCACTGACCTCGATTTCGTCATAAGAGTCAAATAGATATCGATATAGTTATCATAATAATTATCTTCAGCACAGATTGCTGACAGAATGACAGATTGACAGAAATCTGCGAAAAATCGTTTACAGATCCACCGCGTGGTACCGCGCGAGAACGTTGATGCCGACGCTACCTGCACCGTCGCTCCTGTGGACGCGATGGTCTTGTTTTCGAAGCGGAGACACGCTCGCCTCGTCGAGGGACATTGATTCATCCTAGTCCTACATGTCTCCGGCGAGAGCAAACGCGTCGTGCATGTGCATGAGCGCGCGCGTGTACACGTGTGCTCGCCAGGTGTACGTACAGCCGTGGCCACGTACACGGTGTCTCGTATCTCTGCCGCGGATTGTTTCTTCAATCTAGACTCGTCGACGAATTCGGAGCTGGCTCGATATAAAACTGTCATTGCGACTGAAACCGCTTAATTATTGCTCGGCTTGTCTCTTGATTCTGAATTAGACAGAAATCCAACGAAAATCAAGCGTGAAATTTATTCCTGTCATTTATCTGGAAATTTTATTGAAACTTTATAGTAACTTTTTAATTTAATTTTTAAACGAGACGCTCAAGGAGAGCTACGCGCGCGAATATGTTAATATTGGAAACTTTGTCGGTCTTTTTGGTCTGACATCTAATATGCGAAACCGAGAGGACCGCGAGTCCGGGACACCATGTATATACGTATCGTCCGTGCTCCAGGCACGACCGATGATTATCTCCACGCTCGGTTTGAGCCACAAAGCACGGCAGTCCCACGCACGCCTTGTCGAGTTATTAATCGCCACATAATTCTACAATTACAAAGGTTAATCCGGCGTTTTCACGCTTTGCCCGCCATGGGTGCTGCGACATCGGGCGGCCGACAGAGAACAAGGGAAGAGAGCGAGAAAGAACGAGAGATAGTGAGGGGCCGAGGCGCGGGAATGGAAGAGAGGAGAAAGAAGGGCCTTAGCGGCCGCTCACGTTGTCGTTAACTCGATCCACTCGGCTTGTCACTTTACTTTCGATCGTAACCTTTACACCCCGGCTTTGCACCCGATGTCGCAACCGTGGTAAATCCCGTGTGTCTTATCTTCCCGGCGCTCGCGAACAACGAAGATACATTTGACGCATGATTAATCGTGGTTTACCCGGCGAGAATCTTTTCTCCATTGCACGCAAGCTTCCGTTAGTTTCACGTAATAAGCATAACCTGTCGCTTGTATATTTAAAAATAAAATAAGAAAAATTTTGATGGGAAGAGTCTTTATTGCGAACTTCAAATCATTTCGAAATCTCTCAATGGCACAGCTTATTTATTTCACTAATAAAGTAAACAACGAAAATACCGCACGTTTACGACTGTGGTCCGTAATCGCAGAATTATACTTCATTCGTAAGAAATTAAATACTTCATGGTAAATTCTAAGATGTTAGAGCTTGTCTTGTCTAATATTTTGCTTTACTCAGTATTGTATGCCTCTATAAAGTATCAAACATATTAAGTCGCCTTTATCCCTCCGTGAAACTTCCTCTACCACGGAAATTAGTATATCATCTGTAAATACTGTGACTTAAGGATTATCGCGGCCTCAGTTAGATACAAGTATCCAAGCGTATTTCTGAGTCGCCTCTCATTTCGAGACGTTACATAAATCTCTCTTATTCATCGACTATACCACGACTATTACTCGCGGTTCTTCGTGGCATCGCGCGCGGTAGGGCCGCGCTCTTAAGCACGCGTTAAGAACGATCCGGTCGAAGGCGGAACGAAGACGGCCCCGGCTATCGGGAACGCGAGCGGCGCGGGACCCCGCACGATAAGAACATCGGTTTTATCTCGCGTACGGTTTACCTCACCTCCCAAGAAGAAACCCGGCCCCCGGGGTGTGCGCGACCATTCACGATCGGTGACACCGTAACTCGGTATTTCCGTACGTAATTCACCGTGACCAATACGTAATGCGCGCTCGAAAGCGCTCGGGCTCATTTGTTACGTGGCTGCTCCCGTGAAAGGAAGGATACAAAAGGATTTCGAGAGAGAGAGAGGGAGAAAGAACGGCAAAACGATAGAGAGGAAGAGAGAAAAAAAAAGAGAGAGACGAGCGGAACAAGAAACACGAAACGGTTGGAGCGTCGCTCTTACAGGGAGATGATTTAAGGCCATTACTACTCTCCGCGCCTCGCCCGATTTGACCTCCGCAGAATTCCACAACGCGCGGAATGTGTGTGCCCCGCGTACGCGGATGCCGGAATCGCGCTGTCTCGGCCGCCCGACGAATCGCGCGACGTTAAGTAAGATCGCGCGAAATTAAGACGTTTCTGGCACGCAGTTTCCTCATCGTGCGCGCGTGTGCGTATTACGGCGCACGCGAGGTAGAAGAATGCGCGCGCCGCTAATCCGCGAATTGTCTTACCGGATCGACAGGTGCTCGTGTAATGTCCCATTCCCTTCGGGCTTTTAAACACGCGCCGCATTTTCCTTCGATACGGCCGTGGCGCGGTCGGCTTGACCGCCGCGCGCGCAGGCGATAGGCGATATTCCCATTAAAAGAAAATTATCCGAGCACGGTATGGGCGGCATTAAAAGTGATATGTGCCTCGGCGCAGGTGTAATGGCGCGGATATGACGTGTTCCCTAACGAGTTTCGCTTCGTATTTATTAGCGATTAACTTAACGACACAGGACGCCGGCGCGATATAGCATCCGCGAGAGTATGACACAAAGTAGTAATGACGACAGTCCGGACCAGGATCTAATCTTCCCGAGTGTGATCTCAGCCGCCGCAATTAATGCGCGCGCGGTCGGTCGGTCGAGAATCGTTTCCGTGCGCCGATACGCGGCGACGTACTGGGCGTTACGAAAATACCCGAGCGATTTTCAGAGGGCTATCCTCCTCGTCGCAACGAAGAAGGACTCGTTCCCGATGCTTATCCCGATGTGTATCTCGGCAACACCCAGTACACGCGCGGCGCGCCGCGTGAAACGTTCCCTGGAACCGTATTAGAAAATTAATACCCGGTTGAGAGTTTCCGCGTGGAAGGAGTGGTCAACGTGGAATGAAAATTTATCGTGGCTTGCTCAAGGGGGCCCAGGCGGTTTGCCTTCTCAGTCGCATAAGGTTGCGTAACGCGTTTCGAGAATTCCGACGATGCGGCTCCGCTCGCAACCGCCTGCGAGCGTCTACCGTCATCGTCGTCTTCGACGCCGTCGTCATCGTCGTCGCGGGACGACCCGAAGTCGCCCCTGGGGAGCCTCGCGAAACCGTCGCGGCTTTAAGGGCGCGTCGCGCAAACGCGAGATTTATTGCACAGCCAGTCCGGGAGACCTCCCATTACGTGTAACTCTTTCGTGAGGATAATTAGCCCGAGACACCGTCGTTCCGTTCATGGCTAATCCTATTATCGCGAGGAATACGGAAAGTTATTTGCGCGCGTTGCGCAACCGCGCGAGCGCACGCTCGGCTAAATATTCTAATTGTACGTCGAGACGGGGCATCGGTTACATCGACATCGCTTTGTTGCGATTAATCAAATTTTTTTTCCTATTCGTCGTGTACGTGTAATATATCTTGTAGATGCGCTCATCGAAGATGGCACGATAGATTTTAGATGCATGAATGCGCAAGAAAAAGAGGATTATAGTTTATATTAAAAATTATATATCTAGACGTATTTTTTTTACGATGCATAATTGTTTAGATAAATTATTGCATCGCTACACGATTATCTCCGCGGACAAAGCAATTGTTCGCGGAACTCGAATTGGTATTACGAATCAATGGGTTATGCCTTATCTCTTTTCGTATCGTTTCTCTTCGCGCCTGAGGGCTTATCACGGGATATGAGATACGTGAGATACAGGAATGCCTTGACGTAGGCGTGGTAGGAGGATTAGACGGTTCCGCTCCATTCTTTCGTACGCTTCGTCGTTATATGTGCGATATACGTGTTAAATTTGTAGTTATTCAGAGAAGTTCAGAGTTGAAACAATACTAGAAACTATATCTCATATTTGTAGTTATGATCTATCGTTTTACTTTGTTTTAAGTCAAGTTAAAATCGAATTCTCAATCAATAAAAAGATAATAAAAGATTCAGATAAAATTAGCACATATCATAAAAATTTAAATAATCCTAAATCATTAACACATTTCTTATTAAATAAATTATTTCGAATATGTTCCGTGACTGTAATATATTTCCTGACCTTTTCATTCATGTAAAACATAATAAAAATATCTAGTGTATATTATTGCCTTGCATTAATTTATATAATATTTAAGTCTGAAAAAATATATTTTCTTAATATTCCCTATCTTTTATTTATGCTTGTTTGAGTTTATTTTGTAAATTTTAGATAAATTGTTATGTCAGTAATTACGATATCAATATTATAATTGATATTTTATTTACAGATATAACATTTTCCTATTTCTCAATTTTATAACCTTTACATTTCAATTTTATAATTTTTCCATTCATGCATGATAAATCAATGATTGCACATATATTTCAAAATTAAATATTAATAATTCTAGCCTATCCATTTCAAGATAATTCAATTTAGAAGGTATTATATTAAAATATCTGTTCTCTTGCGCTTCTCTTCGCTTGTCGCAGAGTCATTTCCAATTAAAATAAAATACATTTTTTCACTCACCGGCCTGATGAGCAGCAGCAGAGTTAACAAAACTCCATTAATCTGTAACACACAAAAATATGTAAGTATTAAAATAGCATTCAGAATAAACAATATTATCAAAAATATTGCATAAATTTTTATATATTTGTTTTTTCCCTCAAGCAAAAATATTTCATGAATTAACTATGTAATTTCCAGAAGACAATTTCGCAGGTAGTAAATAATAGATAATGAATTACCTACCCACGGTTGCTCCGCCGTCGCCAGATGCCTCCCAGGCCTCCTCCTCGGAGTTTGTAACTGCATTAATCTGTAACACACAAATATATGCAAATATTAAAATAGCGCCCAGTGCTGGGATTCTGTACACGCTACCGATGATCGTCGGTTCTTATGATATAAGAAAAGCTGCGTAACAACACCGACAATCATCCGGTAGCGTGTTTACAGAATCCGAGCCCAGAATAAATATTATTAAAAATACTGCATAAATTTTTATTTTATTTTTACATTTTTTTCTCTCAAGTAAAAATATTTAATAAATTAATTATGTACTTTCCAGAAGACAATTAATTTCACAGGTAGCAAATAATAAGATAGATAATGAATTACCTACCCAAGATTGCTCCGCCGTCGCCCGATGCCTCCCAGGCTTCCTGCTCCTCCAGCTCCTCCTCCTCCTCCTTCTTTGAGATTCCTTCGTTGTACCCATAGAGAACACAACACAACTATACTCGCGCGAGCACACGATGAAATTACGACGCACACGAATTCATCGCCCGAAACTCCGAATACGATAATCGCGCGACACTTCGCACGACACTCCCGATCGAGGAACGACGCGAACTTTGTTGCTTCCGCAAGTATTTATACTCAATCGCGTAGCATTCCGCATACTCCGCAATACACGAATGAGACAATTCTCACTTACGAGCCATCGATAAACCTAACCATACTTCTGAATATCGCGTGATCCAAGACGACATCCGAAATATGGTTGAATATATTTCGGTCGATCGTTCGGATAGATCCGGAATGACGTACACGACGACGATGCGTAAACATTAAGTTCGTGCTACGTGATAGACTCATATAGACGATCATTCACGGAATTAAGCGGGATATTTACTAAACACGTCGCCACACGATTTCGAAGTTGATCAGAATCCATTCAGCGCGCTTCCGCGACGCTCGCCGAGCGTATATACGTGCACTCACGATGCCGTAAACATTAAGTTCGTGTTATGCGGTAGACGATCATTCATGGAATTAACCGGGATTATCCTTACCAAACGCTACACGATTCGGAGTTGATCAGAATCAGCGTTTCCGCGACGGTGCGCGACACGACGCGTCGCCATTGAGGTCAAGATTCGGGACTGGCGCAACTAACTTCACCCTAATAGGGGGGGGGGGGCAGGGGGAGGGGGGAAGAGGACGAGTTCATTCTCACTGGCAAAAGAGACGCGAGAGATTCACGAGCGAAAACTGCAAAGTAGATATATTATATGTATCGTGTACAAACGATCGCGTGATGGCATAATTAATCTATTCATTAGCTCGCGTCTACTTATCGTTAGATATTTCTATACGTTCGAAAACAGTGATAGATAAAGACACAAAGGGGACCATACGCGAGATATATCCGAATCCGGAGTGTCGTTGGAGTGATATAATTATCGCGCGCGAGCACAATGAGGCAATGAATTTACTGCTCCCTACTGTTTATATCCTTGAAATGTGAGCATAACCGCGAAACATCCGCGACCCAACGCGGGCCGCGGTCACCGCCTCGATTAATATATACTCACGAGTCGTCGCAGCTGCGGGAGTTACGTAATCGCACCTACGATTATAACATATATTATAATTCAATCGGCTCGTAAGGGACTGTACCTATACCTGCCGTCTCGTGGCACGCGATCGCGTATATTGACGAAGCGCGGGTCGCGGCGTAATGCGACGACACCAAGCGCCCCCGCGGTCCCCGCGCCGCGCCGGGCCCACGGTCGCGTCGACCTTCGCCGCGGGAACACAACACAACCGCGCTTGTACACAACGCGCCGCCCGCGCGCGCAACAGGGTGAAAAAAGCACGAGCGCCGATCGTCGTGTAAACAGCCGAGCTGCGTCGTCGGGAAAAATCTAAAAACACGATGTGAAATAATATATACACGTCGAGTGATGCGCTCCGTTATAGCCGTACTGTTAAATTCGTAGTGTTACGCCGAGGTATGTACACATTCGCGTACGAGCAATGTTGAACGAGCGATTATCGCGCGTGAGTGTCGCTATATGAAAAACTACTGACCGCTCCATAGATCATCCTGTAGCGTACCGACCGCGATGGGGTATTATATTACCCCGTGACGATCGACAAATGGCCAACGTCTCGATCGATACGTTCGCGCGTCGTTAATCGCGGGATTTTAGTAATTGCGCAAGCTACCGTCGCTATATTGTCGCTAACAGGCCTCTAGGGAATAATTTCGCGTACTCGGTACACCTGCTTGACCCGGTCGTGCTTAGTGAAAAATGAATCCCATCGGTCGTCGGCCTGATTTGAAATTCGTTCCGGGTTCGTCTATTAAGTACATCGGTATATGCGGGATGTCGATTGTCGCGGATACCTGCGGATACCGCGAGCGAGTCGTTGCTTTGTGCGATCGTACTTAATCTTCAATTCGATGTCGGATCGAACGTCGATCATTTCTCACTGGCGTAACACGATGATAGCGCTCGCGTCACCGCCTAATGGACAGAGTCGCGTCGCGCGAATAATAATTAAGGTATAACTTTACAATATATAATAACGTCGTAGACGAATAAAAACGCAAGCGCTGAGCGTTTGTTCATTTTTGCCAAATTGCGTCGCCAAAACGATTCTCTATAGACGTTGCCGTCTAACCTAACAATTACCGTGGCGCGCGGCGGGCGTCCATGGGACGCGTCGACGGGATAATTGAGATTCGTCGGGTTCGTCTATTATGTCAGTACGCGGAATGTCGCGGATACCGGGCGAATCGTGTTGCTTTGTGCGATCGTACTTAATCTTCCGTACGTTGCGCGATGAAACACGCTCGATTGTTAGCGGGAGTGTCGTGCAAAGTGTCGCGCGATTATCGTATTCCGGCAATTAATTGTTATTCCGCGAATGTCGCGATGTTATCGTATTCGATACGCGTGTGTTAGTGCAACGAAGAGAGGTCCACAGTCAAGGAACCTGAGAGGAGGAAGAGGAAGGAGGTCTGAAAGGCGACGCAGCATAAAGTGAGTCATTGATTATTTAACATTGATAATTTAATATGAAATTTGTGCCGAATCAACGTCTTCTATTCATCATATTATTTTCGACGAGTATGTTTACACACCTCGCATTTTTATTGGCGTCGTTTAAGATTCCATACGAAAGAATTGAGGACGATTTTGCAGGAAAGAAACATAATAAAAATATTGTTATTCATACATCGGAATTCGCGAGAATATGTGAGAAATCATTGATATATATATATATATATATATATATATATATATATATATAACATACGATAAATTTTAATTCTTTCGTAATGGAAATTCGAATACAATTGATTGCTTTAGTTAAAAAAAGTTATGAAAATATATTTATTTGAAGAATAAAATTTACTTTATCCAATATTAAATTGACTATGTTTGAATATTAAAATATTTATTAAATCGATTTGAGACTGCTTTCTGAGGATTGTTGAATTGACGCGACTTTAAATGCGAGTCTAATTCTAAACTGACAGATCATATTGACTATCTCGTGAAATTGCCTTTTCCTTCTTTTACTTGGCCGCCGTCGAGAAATCACGTCGAGTATCTCACTCACAGGCGGAGAAAATATCGAAACGATCGCCTAAGTAGCGAGTGATTTAAATCGCGTCAGATAAGAGCGCGGCGCGGCATATGTACAATTTGTTTATCGACTCGACGAGTTCGGCCGATCTCCGCTAACGATTCGAATCGCGATTACATACGACGATCGATCGGCATTTTGCGTGTTCATGCATGCGTAAGAGTCCGAGGGCAGAATACGGTTACGTCTCGGCCAGGTGTGTGTCACCGCGGCGAACAAGCGGAGCGTGAGAAGAAGAAGTTCGCGAAGTCAGGGAATGTCGTCGTTAAAGCGCGAGCGTTCGAGGAATCTGCTGCTCCGCAGAAACAGAAACTCCTGTTGTGTACGGAATGAGCGTTCAGCTAAAATGGCTACAATCGTAACCAAAGGGGAAGAAAAAAGAAACAAATAAAGAAAAAAAGATACGAGAAATAAAATTGAGTACGATCTATCCGCGGACAAAGAGGATATTTCATCCCGTCTAACGGAGAGCGGAAAGGTTGTGCGGAGTCATCGGGGCAGATCTCGCACACCGGTGCTCGGCGACTCGTGTCGGGCGATGCGATACAATTAGCGGGGATGCGTACCGGCACGGAAGCAAGCGCATTCCCGAGCGCAGCGGATCCGTTAAGCGACACACCGACTCCGCGCGCGCGCGCCCGCGAGACTTCTTCAATCGCCGGCCGCGGCCGGCCGATCCAATTATCCGCGGGCGATTAAGCCCGCGGCCGATGCAAATGAACGCGAGCGGGTGCCGCCAAGGAATTCCCCTTGTCGTTAGCCCCCCACGGCGGGATTAATACCGGCTGTTAAAGCCCGCGACCCGGGAAAATCTGCCGATGACTCACGGACCGCGATCATCGTACGTGTAGAAGCTGCCTCCGGGCAACGTAATTGTCCGGATCGCGATGCTCGCCCGTACGAGCGACTCGGATATTATCCCAGGTCGTGGACGCCACTTCTGGTTTGCTCTTAAAGCAAAAGCCGCTTCTTGAAATTGTTGGATAGAACCGCCGCTTTTCGAGTCGCCGCAATTCTCTCGCGATTTCTGCACGCGAAGGCCATTGAAGAAACAATTTTTTAAAAATCATAATTTTAGAATTGCGTTACTTAAATAGCAATTTATTTAAATAATATAAAAGCCAAGCATTAAATCCTTAGCGATGTGCCTCTGTTTTTGGTTTAGTGTTGATTTCGCTGAA